GGTTCTAAACAGCACTGTAGATTTGTGGAACCTCTTCTATAGAAGAGGTTAGAACTGGCAGGAACCCAGCCCTGTTACAAGTGTAGTATAGCATTTGTTGACCATCCAGTCAAGAATAATTTCTACATGGTGAACTACAAGGTAAACCTAAATCACATAGGATACCATGTGAAAATAATTTGTTTATCCCTTTACTAGTTTACCAAGGTAGGTTGTCTCTGGAAGCTCCTGTATGCCCAGGCTGCTCAAATAATTCACAAACTAATAAAGAAAGATTTAATAGATTAAAATTTCAATTCATGAACTTTCTTGGGAAGGTTTTGTCTTAAGTTACCACACTTTAGCTTAATTGGCACTGTATTGTTGCTGGAGCTTTAATCTGTGATCTCCAATCCATTTAAGAAAGTGCACTTATTTTTATTGGAGTATTTTCAGTTGACTTCAGATCACCTCCTTTCACACAGCTAACAGTTATAATAATGTCAACAGAGAAAGTAATTTCAGTGTAAATGGAGTATTTGTTGGTTCAGATGACATCTTAAATTGGTTTCTGAGGAGAAACTGAACAGTAAATTAAACTTAAAGTAGGATTAAGATTAGCCCCAGAGGTCAAAATCGCTGGGTTGGATACTATTTCCTTGTTAACCTATTATGTACATACATGCTTCCTGAATCTTTTGACAGAAATGTGTAACCTAAAGTACACATTAATAGCTATTATAACAATTGGAGAGAGACAAACACAATAGAAGTATTCCCTAGGCAGAAAGAGTAGCATTTATTAACAATTAACACAAATATAAAAATCGCTATCCCCACAGATACTATTACTGTATTACATTATACGGACCAGTTACTTAACTGCTTGAATGTGGGTTAAGTCAGCAATAAAATGGATAATAAAATACTATTGCTAGCTAAAATAGCTTCCTTGTCTAATTAAAGATAAGTGGAAGAAATACCAAACTATAGTTCAAGAAATGCAGAGAACATTTATTTTCATTATTTGATAAAAATGCCTATTATCTAGTTTTCTCTCTACATTAAAAAAATAGAAAGCTTCTGAAGAATAACTCATTGAGAAGGAAGGTTATGTTCAACCCTTCATGCAGATAATTTTTATTTCCCAATCTTCTTCAATGGATCTTTCCATTTTTAAAGATATGATCAAACAAAATTTCTCATCAACATGCTTCCTCTCAAAAGGAGAAAAATACAGAGTCAGAAACTATGGTTTTCCAGATATTGGTAAGCTACAACTATCAGGATCTTCACCATCTGCCAAGTTAACTAATTTTTTTTTTAAAGTAATAGATTTACTATACCTGGACCAAATGAAATTGGCTTTCCAGTCTTCAGATTGTTTAAAAATTGTAACTCTTCAAAATGCCAGATACAATAGTACTTCCCAGTTTAGTGCCCTCCAGGTGTGTCAGAATGCAACTCTTAAAAAGTATAAGCTATCATGGCACAAATATTTATTGAAGATTCTGGGAGCTACAGTGCCAACTCATCTCAACAGCAGTAGGTTGGAGAAAATTGCATTAAATGCTAGCTAAAGGATTAATGGAGGTTGAAAGGACAGTGGCTTATAACTGCTTCCTTCATATTAAACTATTAGGCTGGCAGCAGAATGAATGAAGAGAAGTAAGCTCCGCTGAGAAGCCATATCAGCTGTCACCTGGCAGTAGTCATTATATCAGGTTCATACCAGAGAGACTGAAGGAGACAGGGCCACAATCAGTTGCAGCTTTATCACACTCCTATTTCCATCGAGTATCACTTGTCACCAGCCATTTCATCAGGGAAGTAACATGAAACAGAGTTATCATCAACTCAGCTAAGAAGTCATCTTAATCAGGTTTCAGCATCCATCTTCTGTCACCTGGCCAGTAGAACAGAAGGACCATTCCTCTGTAAAGCTTTGTCATCCCAGATGATTATCATAAGATTGTGTATTAAGAATATAAGCCTGAGTGTGCTCTTTGTTTTATTGTCCCAATTACCATTCTGTTTATATTCGGTCTTACATTGGATCTTTTTAGAGTTCAAGACTTGAGGAACAAAATTGGTCTTTGTAAACTAATAATAGAAAAGTTTTCCACCTTTTGTCTAACCAGGACAAAAATCCTAGATGCAAATACATATCAGACACTGCCATTAGTGAAACTGAATGAAAAGATCTGACTTAGATCAACTCATGGCTTAAGATAAATAATGGATATTTTTGGAATATCAGAAGCTGTTAATGAGCTATCAGGCCTTTTTAAAGATGGTTTGATAGTGATTAAAATGAAAGTGGACAGTTTTAAATGTCTATTGTAAGCAAAGCAATAATGAACATATGTTGCTCTGAAAAATAGAATAATAAATGTTTTACAATAGTTTATTAAAATTAAATTTATACTTTTTCCATTAAAGCAGCAAATAAGTGTCCTTTGGTTCTCTGTGCAACTCAAGATATTTATATCTTGTTCATCATATTTAAATTTGGTCTGCATGGATATGGTACCAATGGCCATGCTGTTTATAAATACTGAGAATTGTAATCTCAGCATAGCTAGAAGCAACCAAATTCTAAATTCAACCCTAGATATTTTCTTGATTGAAATTCTTGCAAACACTTCTGTCAGTAATATCATGCTTTATAGATCAATGGACTCAATAAAAGCCATTATTTCATTCTATGTGTATAGTATCTTCTCTATACAAAAGAATGGAATAAAGAATTGTTGGAGAAAATAATGATTTTCAGAATTAATCAATAATAGTATAATTAAGAAGTTATTTTTCTTTATGCATGCTCAGCTCTAGCAACTATAAATTTGTTCAACTTCTTTTTCATTCCTTCTAGGCCAAGGGTTTCTAAACTTTTTAAACTTTTTTGGTACATGCTCCCTAAAAATTAAATACCAAAATGAACAGAAAGAAATAAGGAAAATATTGCAATGGAACTTTGGGAAAGGTGGATTTTTTTGTAACGTTTATTACAATAAAATTATAAAAGGTTTTTTGGGCCTCCCCTAGATTAACTTTACCGCTTCAAGGGTGGTACATCTCACAATTTGGGAAACCAAACCCGAGATTTTTAAGCCTGTACACAAATATTATGTTTGAGATTAAGAAAGATTGCAACTTATTAGAAAGTCATGACTTTGCATTAATTACAGAACAAAAAATAATCTTGTATTTTTTTTTTTTTTAGATGTGTGCAGAGGTGTGAAAGCAAAGTGCTGCTGAAAATCAAAATAAAACTGAAAAAGCCTTCTCCTGCGAGTGTTTTGGCTGCTATTTCTCAACAAGTGGATTACTTGTTCCACTTTATTCCGGACATAGAACCTTCTACAGGTGAACAGAATCCAATTCGCCCCCAAAGGAATCATTCCGGTAACCACATACCACTGCAGCCAGGATAAATTTCCGATTATTACAACCTGGAATGTCAGATCGTGGCAGGATTAGAAGACCGCAAACCGAATCAAGGTGGTCGAGAACTAAAACCGGGGAAAGCTCAATTTAGTCAATCAAAGAAGCTTCTTGCGTATTTCTATTCCAAGCATTCTATCGAATAGAAACCTCCAAAGACTGAAGCTGCCGTGGACCATTTTTGGCCATTTTTGATAGTGGAAAAGAATTTAAGACTCAAGTGGAACTTAAGAACGGGAAGCCCACACTAAATATGGAGAGAAATGCAAAATTGGAGTCACATGCTGCGACACTTGGCAGTACGGAGTTTTTGTAACCATAGAAATGGGAACTTTTGCAGTAACGGAAGCGTGCTCCGGTGTTAAGCGCACATGCGCAATACTACTTAAGATACGGGAAATGACTATTACAGAAGCTGGCAGAGTAGCCCCGCCCCCGAGGTTTATTAACTAACTTCCCGGAGCCGGGAAAGGGGTGTGGGTGTGGTTATATCTTTTCCCTGCCTTCGCTGAGCAAGGGGTTCCCGTGCGACCACCTGGTCATGATGCAGGACTTGCCCGCTATCCCCGAGGAGATCAGTAACTTCCTTGCAGGTGAATGTGCCCTGCGCGGCTGGGAGGGAACTTCTGCAAGCGTGGAGAGACGCTTTACTAGAGGCAGTGTAACAGGGCTACAGGAGAGTAAGAAAAGAAAAGGGAAGGTAGAAGAAATGGAGAAGTGACTTCTGGGGCGGGAGTGATTCCTTTTTGGAAGTGAAGCCGAAGATTTAAACTTGAAGATTTAATAATAAAGAAAAGGGGGACTCTGTAGGAGGGTCATCAAGAAACGTACCCGAGAGGAGCGCAGGGTGGGCTTGATGCTTAGCTGTTCGTTTTTTAAATATTTGGACAAGAAGTAGGCAACTACTTTCCTGACTTGGACTAGGGAAAGTTTGACATCAGTATTCATCAGAAAATCTACTTTTATACTTTTGCTGTGTTATTTTGCAGATATATGCTTAAAGTCAGTTTGGTGTATAAGGCTAGTGAATAAGATACAAGACTGGAAACCAGGAGACTGAGTTCTAGTTCCATTTTAGGCATAAAAAACCTGAGTGACTTTGTATTAGTCACCTAACCCACCTCACAGGGTTGTTGTTGTGGGAAAGAGTATTATGTTTGTTCAATGCCTTGAATTATACAATAATGAAGGTGGAATAAACTAATAAAGTTTTAATTTCAAAAAAATAATTTGCATTTATTAAATGCTGTTGCTACAAGTATAGAGTTTAGTTAAGAAGAACTTAGAGTGGTACTGTAGAATCATCACAATGTTTAAATAAGTCCACCTGGATTTCCGATTTTTTTTTCTTGGATCAATGTCCAAAGTGCAGAATTGGAGCTTTGTTTCAGCAAAAAAAAAAAAAAAAAAAAAAAAAGGAAAAGAAAGAAACCTTTGACATTTCCATATTTGCTTACATTTTCATAATCTTAAAATAGATTGTTCTGTGTTGTATTTCCTGTGTCGCACGTTATACCAGACTGAAAGCCACCTAGTTTTTAAAAATATATTTCCTTTTGTTAACCAAATGCTTTCAAATGAAATAAAATCCCCTTTCTATTGGTGACTCTGTTTTGTATTTATGCCAGTACTAAATTTCTATCATATGTTTGGTTGAAATTCTCTATCCATGTATAATGAAATGTATTTTTCTAAAGTCCTCTAAATAGATTTGTTTCATATTACTTAGTAAATAACTTGATTTGCCCCCACCAATATCCACTACATTGAATTTTTATTCAAACATACATATAGGCCTGTAAACACTTTATTAAGTTTACTACATGAATTGTCTTAATCAAGAACCAACTACCTTAAATATATGAAATAACTACTAAATGGGCTGGATTAGTATGCGTCCATAGTAGGAAAACTGTAGCAACTCAAACCAGAATTCTGAGGCTGTAGTTCCTTTAAAAAAATAAATAAATTATTACATGCCAAATAAGTCTTGATCAATTACATCTCAAGTCAACCGTTATACTGTAGGTTGAAAGATTGCTTGAGTATACTTTTTAAAAGTATTTATAGCTCTGGAAAGATGTGATTAAGTCAGCTTTTCAAGAATTCTTTCCTGGGTGCCAATAAATCTAATTGGCAGATCTAATTTCATACTCTTTCATACCAGGTAAACATTAGGGTTGCATATGCTTCAGAAATTATCTTGAATAAGGGCTTTTGGATCTCAGGCAAATACTACACCTAGTTATGAAGGCAAGACTGATTCTTTTCAGGCTCTGAGCAAGACTGAAACAAATGCTGCTGTTTCTAACCGCAACTCTTACAGCAGTGGCACCTTCTTTCCAGACATGAAGTGAAAACATTGGACTGTTGTAATGAATAGCAGAAGAGTGTTGTGTTTATGTGGGATCTAATGCACTTATTTGTATTAATCATTTTTGAAGTGTGTTGTAATGCAAATCCTTCCAGTTCAGCTCCTCTTGACTACATGGATGTATCTGTTATTTTTTTCCCCATCAACCGAAGGAAGTATCATTTTTTAAAAATATTTTTGATTTTCCAGACTAGTTTATAGTCTTGGAGGTCTCCTGTCTAAGAACTAACTGGGCCTTACCCTTCTTAGGTTTTTGAGATTAACAGAAGTAACCCAGGAACTGCTACATGTTGTGATTGGGACTTATTTATCCTTGAACGAATCGGACTTGGCTAGAGTCATACAGAAAGTTATTCTGTTATTAATGGCCTGCAAACTATAATTTTTGGTTTTGCACAGTTCATCCAAAGTAACCATATTGTTTAAGTTTGATATGCCAACCCGCTTTCTGTTAGAAGACAGATTGCTCTTTTTGAGAATATATGGTTGCAATCTGTTTGCTAGAAAATAAGTTTAATTTTGAATGCATATATTTATATACCGCATTTTTCAGAGTATAAGANGAGATCTCAGAACTATATCTTTCAGAGATCCTGGACCATCAGGGAACTGCCAGAGGACTGGAAAAGAACTGATGTGGTTCCCATCTTTCCCATTTTTCGAAGTATTTTTCGAATAAGATGCACCTTTCCCTCCCAAAAAAGAGAGTGAAAATCTGGGTGCGTCTTATACACCGAATACAGCATTTTTGGCCTTCAGAAACCCCACTGCTTCACAAAAATATACCTACAGAGGGTTTGGGAGGCCTGCAAAGTGACCCTGGGAAGATCAAAACGAATGAAAAACAGACCATTTTTTACCCGTTTCCCCCTCTTCCCCAGGCCCCAGGAGCACTTTGCAAACTCTCCGCATGCCCCATTTTTCACGCGGCATGCAGAGGGTTTGGGAGGTCTGCAGAGTGTAATTTTTTTTTTAAAATTTACCTCTTCAAAATCTTGGTGCATCTTATATTCCAAAAAATATGATCTCAGTAGACCACTGGTTCTCAAACTTGGCAACTTTAAGACTTGTGGACTTCAACTCCCAGAATTCTCAAGCTAGCTCTTCTGGCTGGAGAACTCTGGGAGTTGAAGTCCACAAGTCTTAAAGTTGCCAAGTTTGGGAACCACTGCAGTAGACCATATTTGTACATTTAATTTTAAAAAACAACAACTTATACATGTTGCATATATGTTCCTAAAACATCAAAGTGAATTTAGGGCACTAAATGGCAGCATCAATATGAACATAAATAATTATTTCCATCCCACTTCTTTAATAATACATGTATTAAATCAGATGGAGAAAATATAAAAGATGCAATGGTAGATAACATATAATATAATAAAATAAAATAAAGTATTGGTATAAAAGATGCAATGGTAGATAACATATAATATAATAAAATAAAATAAAGTATTGGTATAAAAGATGCAATGGTAGATAACATATAATATAATAAAATAAAATAAAGTATTGGTATAAAAGATGCAATGGTAGATAACATATAATATAATAAAATAAAATAAAGTATTGGTATAAAAGATGCAATGGTAGATAACATATAATATAATAAAATAAAATAAAGTATTGGTATAAAAGATGCAATGGTAGATAACATATAATATAATAAAATAAAATAAAGTATTGGTATAAAAGATGCAATGGTAGATAACATATAATATAATAAAATAAAATAAAGTATTGGTATAAAAGATGCAATGGTAGATAACATATAATATAATAAAATAAAATAAAGTATTGGTATAAAAGATGCAATGGTAGATAACATATAATATAATAAAATAAAATAAAGTATTGGTATAAAAGATGCAATGGTAGATAACATATAATATAATAAAATAAAATAAAGTATTGGTATAAAAGATGCAATGGTAGATAACATATAATATAATAAAATAAAATAAAGTATTGGTATAAAAGATGCAATGGTAGATAACATATAATATAATAAAATAAAATAAAGTATTGGTATAAAAGATGCAATGGTAGATAACATATAATATAATAAAATAAAATAAAGTATTGGTATAAAAGATGCAATGGTAGATAACATATAATATAATAAAATAAAATAAAGTATTGGTATAAAAGATGCAATGGTAGATAACATATAATATAATAAAATAAAATAAAGTATTGGTATAAAAGATGCAATGGTAGATAACATATAATATAATAAAATAAAATAAAGTATTGGTATAAAAGATGCAATGGTAGATAACATATAATATAATAAAATAAAATAAAGTATTGGTATAAAAGATGCAATGGTAGATAACATATAATATAATAAAATAAAATAAAGTATTGGTATAAAAGATGCAATGGTAGATAACATATAATATAATAAAATAAAATAAAGTATTGGTATAAAAGATGCAATGGTAGATAACATATAATATAATAAAATAAAATAAAGTATTGGTATAAAAGATGCAATGGTAGATAACATATAATATAATAAAATAAAATAAAGTATTGGTATAAAAGATGCAATGGTAGATAACATATAATATAATAAAATAAAATAAAGTATTGGTATAAAAGATGCAATGGTAGATAACATATAATATAATAAAATAAAATAAAGTATTGGTATAAAAGATGCAATGGTAGATAACATATAATATAATAAAATAAAATAAAGTATTGGTATAAAAGATGCAATGGTAGATAACATATAATATAATAAAATAAAATAAAGTATTGGTATAAAAGATGCAATGGTAGATAACATATAATATAATAAAATAAAATAAAGTATTGGTATAAAAGATGCAATGGTAGATAACATATAATATAATAAAATAAAATAAAGTATTGGTATAAAAGATGCAATGGTAGATAACATATAATATAATAAAATAAAATAAAGTATTGGTATAAAAGATGCAATGGTAGATAACATATAATATAATAAAATAAAATAAAGTATTGGTATAAAAGATGCAATGGTAGATAACATATAATATAATAAAATAAAATAAAGTATTGGTATAAAAGATGCAATGGTAGATAACATATAATATAATAAAATAAAATAAAGTATTGGTATAAAAGATGCAATGGTAGATAACATATAATATAATAAAATAAAATAAAGTATTGGTATAAAAGATGCAATGGTAGATAACATATAATATAATAAAATAAAAT